CTCCAACACCCATGCGGGTTTTGTCTCCAACAACAAGGTCGTGTCGTCTCCCGCAAAATGTCTTTTGTCCCCAAAACCCCCATGCAGTTCGCTCCCCAGGCCCCATGTCAGGGGGATTGTGCTCCCGATGAGTTGTGTTATTAACTGCATTTAGATAAAAGTGGTCGACTGCTGGTTGCCACATAACTGGTGGTATGTACGATCTAGTAATTTACATTTGCTAGCATGTCATGTCTGTTGCTTCAGTCAACGATTCACTATAATTCTATGATGCCAGTAGCATTTGGATTATATGTCCGTCTTGCCTTCCATCGTTACTCCACGTTGCGTCAGTCTCACTAGACTGTTATAGTCAATAAGTTGTGTCTTTCGCCTTCCCCCCCTCCAAAATACCTTAAATATCTTCAGATGTCTTTATAATGCACATTTTTGGGGGGTGCCATATAGACTGATTCTTACTGCATTTATGATATCTGCTATTGCGCAACTCTCCAGCACTTAAATCCAAGTCCTTGCGCATGTCCCTTTCATCCTATTATCATCCTCATCAGTATTGTTCAAGTCGTACGGCTATAATCTAGCGATAAAGCGGCAGAAGTGGCGTTACGTTGGCAGCCGTACCCACAGACCTACACTCAGGCAGCTCAGATGATATGGCCGCAGTCCACTGATAGGAGCAGTAGTGAACTTCGGCAGCCCCCTAAGCGACTGAGCTATTCATCTTAAGGATAACGTTGCTCACGACCATGTAATGAGGAAGGAGTAGAAAAAATGCCCAGGAAATTGCCATTGTCACCATTGCTCCACTAGTATACAGTTGACGGGAGCCTCTATTCTGAGGTCGACAAAAAACGAAAGCTAAAAACTCGTAACATACCACTAAAGATCGGCGCATGGTACGTGCGAAACTCTCCAGGATAGAGAAAATGCACCTGCACCTGAAAGACGAGCTGCCCTGGTTGGTAAAGAACTTGGTAGATACAACATCGACATTGCAGCCTTGAACGAGTCTAGACGTGCTGATGATGGCTAACTCTGCGAGGTCGATGCAAGTAACACATTCTACTGGAGTGGTAACAATCCTGAAACAGGCAGAGAAGCCCGAGTGGGTTTTGCGATGAAGACCACATTTGTCAATAAACTGACTAAACCCACAAAAGGTGATAGTGATAGACTCATGGTCATGTCAATTCCATTGCTTCAAGGAAAGAAGAATGATACACTCGTAATTGCATATTTCAGCAACGATGATTTAAGGCGGCGCTTAATGTTTGATAGACCATTGTTTTGTTTTTTCAAAAAAAAACCTCAGCATTCAACCACCAAGACGACCGCAGGGAAACAAGACCTACAGAAAGCTCAACATCTCCAGCTTAGAAATGAATCCATTGGAGATCATTTTGTATCCACACTAGAAGATCGTCTACAATCCATCTCCTTAGAAACATCAGGATTTATTTGACGAGAACTCGGAAGAAATTCAGCATCTGCTAATGGAGTAACACCTTCTCTATAAAGCTTTTTAACTGTTCCAAATTCTTTATCAACAAAAAGACTCATTCAGTAATATTAAAAGAACTGTTCAAACCAAACTTCGCCAGATGCGAGACTTGTGGCTAAGCAATATAGCTGATGAAATTTAGCGTTTTGCAGACATTCAAGATATGAAATAATCAATGATGCTTTGAAAATTGTATATGGACCTAAGCCACCATTATCATGTCCCCATCTCAGCAAAGATGGAAATTAACTACTCACTGATAACGATGCAATCCTCAAACGCTGGACTGACACTTCAGCAACATTCTGAACCTACTGTCATCCATAACGAAGAAGCTATAAACGGTTCGAACCAGGTCCCTATGTGTGCAGTCCCAGATGAAACACCAAAATTTTCCGGAGACCAAGAAAGCTATTGATCAGCTGTCAAGTGGTAAAGCTCCTTGTCTTGATGCGATACCCGCAGAAGTTTTCAAAGAATGTTGTAATGTCCTCCCTTAGAAATTACAAAAACTTTTCCAACTTATATGGCAGCAGAAATTACCCTGTGAATTAGCGGCATACTGAACAGTTTCATTCAACTTGTCTCAGAAAGCTGCTAAAAATCAAATGATAAGATAGGATCCCAAACACTGTGATTCTTGATAGGGCAAACCTGACTAGCATCCACATGATACTGAAGAATTGTCAGTTGGGTTGGGCTGGTAAGCTAGGCCGCATACCAGACTATAGCCTCCCAAAAGAGAGTATTTTATGGCTAGCTCCAGCAAGGGAAGAGATCTCAGGGAGGTCAGAATAAAGCGCTATAAGGACACTCAAAACTGCTCTCAGTTCTTGTGGCATCAACACAGTGACGTGGGAGGCTGCTGCACAAGACCGTTCTTGATGGCGTACATCCCTCAGGCACGATGCATCTGCCTGCCAGGCAGCGGAGGTTCCACAGGCAGTGAAACAGAGGCAGATAGAAAGAACTGTATCGCTAATCCCACACTAACTGCGGCTTCCAAGTGTTGTCCGCACTGCTCAAGTACTTACGGGCTCAAATTAGACTAGTCAGCCACCTTCGTACTCATTGATCATTGCCAATTTGGATAAAAAATGATCTTCATCACTTGTGCTGGACGAACAACAAACATGATATTTGCATCAATATGATCTGTCTGCATTATAAAACTCTGAAGAGACAACTTCTCTTCTGCATTGTTGTCACGCGAACACCGTCATCTCTATTTATTGTTCCTACTGTCATAGGCCTAACTTTTCTTTGCAGTTTCTTGAATTTCTCCAGTGTCTCATTCATTAATTTTTTCCCCATTTTTCTTTCTTTTCCCTCCACTGCAGCACAACACTTGAAAACCTTCATCTGATCTTTTTTAACAGTTATTTCTCATTCCTCGCTTGAGCTTAAGGGTGTCTGTTGCACTTTCCTTAGCTGTTAATCTTCTGGAGTCTACTATAGACCCTACATTCCGGTATTACAAAGCGCATTCGCAAGGCCTAAGCCACAAACGCCGACACATAAAAAGAGAGACATAAAATGTGAAAGAGATGAGAACGTGCTGTAAACTGTATGCATTGGGATAGGATAATTTAAGCCCTTTGGTTGAGGTTCTATGCTCTAATAAGAAATATAAATACCCACTGATTTCTTTGGAAACTTTACCAGTGCGATCTTTGTCTCTTCAACAGTGCGAAAGCCACCAGAACGGACTTTATCTAAATCGTACAGTCGAACCCTCTTCCGTTCGAGACTGTGACATGTGTAAGTTCTTTTTTGTTCCAGAGCCTGAATGCATATAAGTTTTACAGATATGACTTTTTTACTTGAAGATTGTTGGTTCCATGTATCTCAGGCAGAGGCACTCCGACATCGAAGGAACGCGTTAGTTGACCTGCAAGACACACATTATATACAACAGAAGATAACGTATTTTACATGGAGTTTCATCAGCTGTAATTGTCTAGTTCTGACGGGGACCTCATGGTGATGTGGTCAAGCTGTTTATCTCACTCTCTGAAAGTAGTGGAATTATTAATTCACGGCTGCAGCATTTTTAAAAACAGATTCCTGGAAAAGGGGGATTTTAAATTGGTGGGTGGGGGAGGTGAGGGGGAGGGGGGGTCGTTGCCAGAGCTACTATGTTCAAACTTTGTACAAGGCTCTCTGTGTGTGGGTTCTGGGGCTCCATTTTAGAGAATAATGAATAGACTCACTGTCGTCTAACAAGCATGTCGTACGAAACGATTAATTAGGAGTTTTTCCTTTAGTGTCGGGTGCATTTGCTTGAGAGGCAAGGAACCAACCGTCGGCATGTATGTAAACACGGCTGTACACGCAAACTTAAGTTCTCGATGAAGAGCTACGTCCAGGAGTGGAAACAACCAAAACTTTCCTCCGGGGTTTACAGCCAGTGAAAGCTGTGAAAAAAAAGTACAAGGCCCTCAACTCCTTTATGGGGAGAGAACAGGAGTTACATGGACACCATGGTGCAATAAAGAGTCTAATACACTGCTGTTACTACTACTACTACTACTACTACTACTACTACTACTACTACTACTACTACTACTACTACTACTACTACTACTACTACTACTACTACTACTGCTGCTGCTGCTGCTGCTGCTACTACTACTACTACTACTACTACTACTACTACTAAAACCACAACTACTACAACAACTACTACTACAACTACATAGTCTACTATTGCAATTACAGCAAAAACAACAACAACTACTGCTACTGAAACTACAAATACAACAACACATACTACTACTACAACTACAACAACAGCAATAACAACAACGACTACTACTACAAATACAACAACTGCTACTACAGCAACACACACTGCTGCTGCTGCCGCTACTACTGTTTCTACTACTACTACTACAACCACTACTAGTACCGTAACTGCTGTTATATAATAATAACGGTGTACTTATTCACTTGTATGGTTTGTGCCTATTGCATGTGATTGCTATATTTGCTATCGAACCCATAAAAATGATAACTGAAATTGCTGCACTGAAGTTTATTAAAAATTACGATTAGACTGGCACTAAAGAAAGTCTCTGATGACATTCAAGGTTAATTTGCTACAACTGAGTCTAAACGTGTTTAAAGGCGCCTAATTTCCACATTACAACAGACACTGAGCTATCAGACACCGACTGAAACCAGTAATGGAGGCAGTTAGCATACAGGGGAGAGGTGTCCTTTCTGAGAGTAATCGTCCTAGAATTAGTATCTAGTTCAATAAGTCAAACAATGATGCCACGTCTACTTTCTTTCTCTAGTGATTTTTTTAATGGGTAGCTTATGATAGTTAAGAAAATTATAAGTGTTTCTATGGTTAGATTTTGCAGTACATCTCACAATTACTTGAACATTATGCGACCTGCAAAGCTGAGTAGCATTGGAAACCTGTGGTCTAGGACATGTTCGTGTAATCCCGTTTTAGTCAACGTGGAATTCTAACAATACAGTCGTTTTTATGGCGGGTGTAGATGTTCACATTATCATTACTAATGAAGAAGAAGAAAGACTAAAGAACGCAACAAGCTTCCCAATAATTGTATCCAACGAAATCCTCTACTACTTCCTTTTAGTGAACTCATGGGGCCCTGGCCAGGCAGTGTGTATATTTGGTGTTATTACAAACGTTCTAAACATAATCACTTTCGTTAAACAGGGCGTGCGGGACACTGTCAACATCAGTCTCCTAGGTTTGGCTACGTCAGATTTGGGTTCTCAGATCACACTGATGTATGCCAATATTAATGGGGCTCCACCTTTTCTGGCGATGGATCTACCGTTTGTTGCCAGGGATGTCATGTACGTGGTATCGTGGTGTCATGTAATGTTCACAAGAATTAGTGCATGGATAACGGCCTACATCACACTAGAGAGATGTATCTGTGTTACTGTGCCACTGAAGGTCAAACAATTTTTCACCCCTAAACGAACTGTCCTATATCTTCAGTTTGTGTATTTACTAATGCTAGCAAGCATTTGTCCAAGTTTATATACTACACGACCAGCAATGATCTTCGATCTTTTGAGAAACAAGACTTTGCTTGGGGTTTCCTTTTTGGCGAATAGAGACACAATTGAGCAAATCACATTTATAACAAACAACACAATACCAGTCATAGCCTTGTGTCTCGTTACTGTATGCACCCTAGTTCTTGTATCATCTTTACGTCAGAAATCAAAATGGCGCCAAAATGCTACGTCTGTTTCTAACAAGGCGGCCATGTCTGGCAGAGACAATAAAGTTGTCAAAATGGTGTTGCTAATATCTGTTATTTTTATAATATCTTACGTTCCCAGCACGGCAGTTTTCATTTACATGTTATACGACACTGACATGCGAATTGACGGACGTCGAACTAATCTCTTGCTTGCTGCATTTTCTGTTTTATTTAATCTGGAATCCATCAATGCTGGAGTCAATATATTTATTTACTTGAGCATGAGTTCAAAGTTTAAATCGACATTCAAGGCCACGTTTTGTTGCATACACAATTGAGGAAGTAACCGCTTTGCCTAGCACAGGAGAGGCTAGCTACATGCTATTTATAAGAGGTGCAGAAAATCTTCTGAACAAATCTTTTTAATGGATGTTTGTTTAATGAGAATTCTGGCTACATCACGGGTCTGATCACATGTCTGGCTACACAACATCTTTTATCATATGTCTAGCTACATCACATGTTTGATCATATGTCTAGCTACATCACATGTTTATCATATGTCTAGCTACATCACATGTTTGATCATATGTCTGGCTACATCACATGTCTCATCACATGTCTGGCTACATCGCATATTTGGTCACATGTCTAGCTACATCACATGTTTGATTACATGTCTAGCTACATCTTATGTTTAATCACAAATCAGGCTGCATGCATCACATGTTTTATCACATGTCTGGCTACACAACATGTCTGATCACATGTCTGGCTACAACAGATGTATAATACACATGTCATCGATGGTTCTAATGTCTCGCTACATCACATGTCTGATTCAATGTCTCGCTACAACACATGTCTGATCCAATGTCTCGCTACAACACATGTCTGATCTAATGTCTCGCTACATCACATGTATGATTCAATGTCTCGCTACAACACATGTCTGATCTAATGTCTCGCTACATCACATGTCTGATTCAATGTCTCGCTACAACACATGTCTGATCTAATGTCTCGCTACATCACATGTCTGATTCAATGTCTCGCTACAACACATGTCTGATCCAATGTCTCGCTACAACACATGTCTGATCTAATGTCTCGCTACAACACATGTCTGATCTAATGTCTCGCTACATCACATGTCTGATTCAATGTCTCGCTACAACACATGTCTGATCCAATGTCTCGCTACATCACATGTATGATGTTCTACATGTCTCGCTACATCACATGTTTGATCACATATTTTGCTACATCACATGTGTAATAACATTTCTGGCTAACTCAGTTGTCTGATAACATGCCTGACTACTACACGCTTCTGGCCACATTATATGTTTGATTACATCTGAAAGTAGACAGTATGATCCTAGAGTTAGAGTGTCACTTTTACACAAACTATAATTTCTTTCCTCTCTCTCTCTCTCTCTCTCTCTCTCTCTCTCTCTCTCTCTCTCTCTCTCTCTCTCTCTCTCTCTCACTCACTTCCATTTCCCCCTCTTTCTGTCTTGCAGCTTCCTTTAAAAAAATATTATTGTTAAAAATGTTAAAATTCCAATTAAAATTCCCTTTATGATTACTCTGCTTCTTCCTCGCCTCTGTCCAGTGTAATTGTCCAGTTTAGTGTACCTTTGTCCCTGCCCGTCTGTCCAGACTTTCTCTTTGGTTTTCATCCGTCATTTCATCTCTCTTTCCTGTATGTCTCAATCGAACGCTTCTCTTTGTGTTTTAATTTCTCGTCTAGTGCATGTTTGCTCTGTTACATTTCGTAATCTATGGCAATATCTACTTCACATTTTTTTTTCTTATTTTACTGTTTCTTTTTTACTTCTATTTTTTCTTCTTCTCGATTTGAATATTCCTTCAAGCTGCTTTCTCTGTTAACTATATTTCTGTCTCATTCGTGATTTTGCTTATCCAGATGTTTTGAATTATGTAGTGTTTTTGTCTCTCTGTCTCCTTAACGTCTCTATACATAATTATCGTTTGCAGCAGTTGTTGTGTATATACTGACTATTAATTTCTCCACCCAGTTTTATTGATCACCGATTTACAATCCTGAATTTCCTAATGTAAATATATAGTTTAGTTTATATACAGACATTGGACATTATCTGTTTATCATCCGGGATTTGGTCTTCTGTATTTCAACTGAAGAAATTTTTGTGTGTGTATTATGATGTTTCTACTTTAAAAAAAAAAACATTTTTCCTGGTCACATGTTGTGAAAGTGAGCGAACCATTTTCTATGACATTTTTATATGTATATTTCAATACATGATTGTGTGTTTGTGTGCATGTGTTTGTGTGTGTGTTTGTGTGTTTATGTGTGTGTTTGTGTGTGTTTTTGTGTGTTTTTGTGTGTGTTTGTGTTTGTGTGTGTGTATGTGTGTGTGTGTGTGTGTGTGTGTGTGTGTGTGTGTGTGTGTGTGCGTTCCGTAAGAGCAATAAATTGCTGCAGGTTATCCATGCGCTGGCCCATTGTTAATATTTCATGTGTGGACGAGTCTCTGAGTGTGGAACGCCCGTGCACTACATTCTAGTATAATGTCCTCAGGTCTTCTCAAAATGTGTCCTATCCAAAGCCAGCATTTTTCTTCGCTTGATTGTCCACTGGAACTTGTTGAGTTCTCCCCCAAAGGTCAACATTAGTAATTTCAGCATCAACTAAATTTCTTCTATGTGCGCAGGTACCTGTTAATGGATGTGTGCAGTTTATTATTAATTTTTATGTAGTTTTTCTTCATGTTTCCGCTCTACGCAGCAGTACTGATTTGACATTAGAGTAAATATTGTTAAGTTCAGAATTAGCCTATGTTACCATGGGATCTGGCTGACGCTCAACACTCGAAGGAAAGGCGAGAGGGATTTACTATCAAACAGATACTGGTGCCATCGGAATTTGAAGTCTTTGTCTGATTTTGCAGATTGAGACGAAGCGCTTATAGGAGTGTCCCGAGTGCTTAAATGTAGATTCTTATTTCAAAATCAAACATTTCAATTTAGTATTAGTTTCAATTTCTTTTTTCCCCACACAAACACAAATGCCTTTTGTGTTAGTGCTGTATATACAATGAAAGCTACTCTTGCCTTTGTGTTCGTATAAACATTTCATTGTATCTGTCATTTTCTCAAGGGACTTCTGTGATATATCAATTACTGCACCAGAGGATCACCGTGGAGAGGTCCCAGAAGCGCGTTAAGACTCCATGGCCTGTCTATAGCGGTTCCTGGAAATAGCCAGGATGGGGCTTACCAAAAATTTCTTAAAAAGGACGTAAGGACGTATTAAAAAACGGGAGTATACTGGCGATACGTTTATTAGAGATTAATTTATTCCCCAGTATACTGCGATACGTCTTTAAAGAGGTAATCGTATCCCACTCTAAGACGTGGAGTCGTAGACGTATAATAGAGACACTGTAATTTTGTTCCGTTTGTGGGGAAAACGAACTCTAATGAACCGGCTTTTGAACAATTAGGATTAATTAAGACCAACGGTACCAGAAGCAGTTAATAAATGCCCCTCTTGCTTTTCCTCTAGGCGTCGAGTATCGTTCAGATCCTCTCGTCACTCACTGCTGCATCACTTAAACCAGACTATGATGATCCATTTGCTACTCCGAGTTGCACACGTGCTCTCACAAAACCTTGACCACAGACAAGCCAATATGTCCCCCCTCCCCCTTTTTTTAATATCATATCCTTACGTCCTTTTTATGACGAAATTTTTGGTTCTTTGAAGCCACATCCTGGCTTTTTCCAGGGGCCGCAATATAGACAGGCCATAAATGTGGCCAATTGTCTAAACGCGCTTTCTGGGACCTCTCCACGGTGATCCTCATCCACATGGTGGCACTTTGTGTCATCGGGTGTTTATCGCTTGTGTGATGTCCTGGTGGAGTAGAGAGTCAGTCAGTCAATCTGTCCCTTGTTGAAAGCGCTGGGAGAACAATAAGGCATACATGAAATGTTTATAATCAATACAGGGATGAGGCAGGGATGTGTCTTATTTAATATATAGAGTAGACAGAATATCTGAAGAAACCATCATGATTGCAGTCCACTCAGAAAACTAAGAAAATTAGGAACTTTACTATCCAAAGGAAAAATTAGATCCACACAAATAAACGAGCTACTATTTGCAGAGAATTAGTGCCTGCTCGACAACGAGGGGAGCATAATATAAGACTAGTTGAATAGGCTAAGTTCACCATGCAGAAAATATAACTTGAAAGTAAATATACATATAAGCGAAATAATTCAGGTCAATAGAATTTCTAGTCCGCTTGATATAGGGCTGAATAGTACTTGTCTGGTGCAAATTAAAGAATATAAATGTACAGAAAGTATATTTTCGGAGGACGTGAGAATAGGTCGGAGAAAGAGAAACAAAAAGCGAAAGAGCCAGCCAACTTTTTTTACTAACAGAGGCTGTTATTAAGACATCAACACACAAGTACGACCGCAAAGAAACAGATTAAGCAGATTAATGAGCAGCATATTAACAAATAACACACATAAAATTTCTCGTGAAATTAGACCGATGACATTAAAGTATCGACACACATGGCCACCCTTCAACCACCGGACTGTAAACTGTTCCTCTAGCCACTACGCTTAACAACAAAAGTGGATATAAATGAATACTGACTGACTTTCTATCTCACCAGGACATCACACAAGCGATAAACACCCGATGACACAAAGTGCCACCATGCGGATGAGGATCGCCGTGGAGAGGTCCCAGAAACCGCGTTCAGACAATTTGCCATATTGATGGCCTGCCTATATTGCGGCCCCTGGCAAAAGCCAGAGTGGGGGCTTCAAATAACAAAAAAATTACGTCCTAAGAAGGACGATCATAATATATAAATGATTGTGGTGATGACGATTAATCATTATCTAGTGAATCGTCATCTTGAAATAACAAAATAATACACACACACACATCAACACACACACACACACACACACACACACACACACACACACACACACACACACACACGATTACATATGATTCCCCTAGACCTGACTGGCAGTGTTATGCTAGCTTCACAATGTAGAATATTGTACGGGAAGCTTAAGGAATATCTATTTTAATTATTTGCACAAACAAACCACAAGTGTAATTGGGCTTACTGCCCTTAGTTAATTAATAACTAAAATAAAATTATATCTTTTTCTTTATCAATGGACATTTCCTGTGGTTCTATTTAGGCATTAGTCACTAACAGAACAGTGCACTTTGAGGTCTTCCCCGTTGCTCCATGGTTTCTTTGTCGATCCCTTGGAGCCATGTAGCCTTATCAATCACACTGCA